CACAAGGTTCTCTCGCTTGACTTTTTGACTTAAAATATTTTTAACACGAGAAACGGAGAGCATACTGAAAAACAAGGAATGGCCTCTACCATTTAAAAATGAAGATACAAATAAGCAGATTGCAGCTTATCACTTTTAAGAAATTTGCCCATCTGCTTAGAAAAACAAAACTAAGAAAAGGTTATCAAAGACATCCTGGGGAGCCAAGAACAGCTGGACCATGTTTAATTAAAATGAAAACATAGGTTTTATAGGAGTCCCAAACTGTTGTATAAATCTATACCAAGCATTCTGAAGTTTTTTTTGTTATGTCTGTAATTTGGGGACCTACGTTTGTTCCCCTGTTCAATTTTTACAAAGAAAAAAAAAGCAACCTAGAGGGAAATTGAACTGAGTTACTTCTGGATTTTATGCCAGCCTACTTGTTTCTGACAGAATACACTGAGTTACAGTCTATTCTGTCAGAAACAAGTAGGCTGGCATAAAATCCAGAAGGCAAAAATGGAGGGTCAACAGAAGCTGTAATACCATACCTTGTAAAGTTTAGGTTTCCTAAGATGCAGAAGTTGCTGATCCTTTACTCTCTGGTCATTTCTTACTCAGCGTCTCACCTTCAAAGCTGTATGTGGCTACTTGCTCTCTGCAGCAGCGAGCTGGCCTCTAGCTTCCTGTTACCTGTGACTCACTCAACCCAACATCTGCGGTTCCGGTTTGGATGAAGGTTTTCTCATGAACCACAAGACACAGGATAACGAAACTGGAACATGAACTTGTCTTGACCAGTTCTTACACAGACTGGGTAGCTTAGCCCAAGTGATTGGGGAAAAATTAATTTAGTGTGTTAATAAATGTAATGCGCAACTATTGTGGGTCATCAAGCTTCTAAAAGAAGGGCTGAGTCAAAGGGTTCTTCCAAGATTTAGGACTTTTTGGGGGGAGGGGGTTCAACAAATTCAACTTTCAGGAAAAATACACCCAAACATACGCATGTTAATAAAATGGATTGTCCAAAAACATTATGGAAAATAGAGGGAGAATGGTTGTTAATTTTTGCCACAAAACAATGCACTATGGCATCGAAGACAAAAACAAAGTTTCATAGACCTGAGGATGCCGTTAACAGTAAAAAGAAAATAGGTGACCATAATTAGCTGCAACAGATCATGTTTGACTCACGAACCATATTTTGTGGTAGACCGAGATGCTATCTCTATCTCCGTTCTGTAGGTAATCTGGGAACTTTATTACAAGATCTAATGTCGCTCAGGGCCATCAGGGAAGCACACATTTCATCCATCTGCATATTATTTATTTAGCGTATGATGAGGACATGACAAAGTAAATATATACATAAGCAAGTCACCCGTATCCATAGCATCCCTTAAGTTACACGTGTTCCCTGGGCGGGTGCTAAATGGGTGAAAGAGATCAGATGCAGCCATACTGCCCTTCTGGGCCTCATGCCACCATCTTTCAGTAATGCCCCATTATAAACTGCCAATCTGCAAATAAAAATACGTGAACAGAAACTGGACATCAGCAATGGTTAATATTTTTTTAAAAAATGAATAGGGGAATTTTTCAGTTCTCCAGGAGATGCCGCCACTGACAATCCTCGAGAAAATCAGAGACCAATTTCCACACTAAAGACTTAAAATTTCTCACAAAAATACCGAAAACCAAGACTTTTAGGACACTAGATGTTTGGTGCAAGAATGCATACTTGATCTGTGCTTTATGGACACTATGAATCATTCACGTGCTCACCTCTCCTTCCTTTTCATCCATTTTTCTCTTTACTCAGAATATATGGTCCACACCTTACACTGCATTTTTTTTCAAGCAATATGACACAATTTGTTTATCTTATAGAAAAAGGCAAAATATTTAAAATTATATATTAGGAACTGACCCATACTGAATTTAACCACTGGATAATGGTGTCTCTCCTACCCAAATCTGCTCCTTAACCATCCCACAATCATCCACATCTGTTTAGATTACCCCTCTGCCTTGGATGAAATAGAAATCTTGGAACGTTTTCTTGAAAAGTCCAGATTTTACAAAGAATTGTGTTCTTTAATTAATCCAACCCTTAACAGGTAGGTTGGCTGGCTGCGGTTCTGACCAGTGGTGCTTAGACTTCTTCCTGAAAGAGATCACTTATACAGATATCAATACATCTGTAAGCCTGACCATTAAGCACTGGTATGTTCAGAATTGACAACTGAACTAGGTTGCTCATTACAAGATTGCATTTGGTTGAACTTTTCACAATATGGTTTTGCAGCACAATAATTTATTGCTGTTTTCAGAACTGGGGGCCTACAGGTAGTCCTCGACTTACAACAGTTCATTTAATGAACTGCTCTGTTCTAAATGGCTCTGGAAAAAGGGACTTATGGCCATTTTTCACACTTATACCATTGCAGCATTCCTATGGTCACGTGATCAGAATTCAGGCACTTTAGCAACTGTTCATATTTATGACGATTGCAGTGTCCCAGGGTCATGTGATCCATCCTTTGTGTCCTTCTGACAAGCAAAACCAATGGGGAAGCCAGATTCACTTAACAAACCTGTGATTAACTTAACAACTGTAGTGATTCACTTAACAATTCTGGAAAGGTTGTAAAATGAGGCAAATCTCACTTAACAAATGCCACACTTAGCAACAGAAATTTTGGACTCAATAGTGCTCGTAAGTAGAGGACTACCTGTATATGGTGGAACCCATACAAGATACAGCCATCCATTTGATAGGATCCAAACAATTGCCCTGAAAATTTGTATCAGGGAAAAAAAACAAATATAAATAAAACATAATCCTGTTTTCTCTTTTGAACAGATTTTACTTTAAAACCTTGAATTAGTCTCATAGTAAAAATTATTTGCTCCTTTCCCAATGTATAGAAGTAACATACAGGATCAAGAAAGATACACATGTAGGGACTGCAGGAGTGAATACTTCACAAAAATATCTTGAGTTCAGAAGCCAGCAAAAGAACTCCTGGCATCCTTATGCAACCCTCCAAAGCGCTCCACATTACCCCAGTCAAAAACTGAAAAAAACTGCTAGCTCTTACTTCCCCAAATTGCCAATAAAGGTCAACACAGAACAGCCTTAAATATTATTTAATGTTTTCTTTATTTAAAAGATCATTCACAAAATACAATATCCATAAATTTACTTTGTCATGAAGCAGAATGTGTTAAGTGTTTGGAAATTTTTCTTTACACATTTAAAAATCAAATGGATCGACTGAGTGAGCCTTGCATGGAGAAATCTTGTTTTTCGCTCTTAAAATCTTGGTTCTTCCTTACTTACAGCGGAAGAGAGATTATTGGGTGAATTTTGTTTAGAACACAACCACACAGTGCATGTCTTAAAGAAAGTTAGTGTTAAACAAATGGTTCTTATTCTCAAAAATATGCTCAGATTACAAGGAGGTCAGGAAAAGAAACATTTGCTCTTTTGTAAATCATGAAGATCTTTTGCTAATCATTTCATTTATTCAAATAAAAGCTGCTCTTGGAAGTTTGCTAATTAAGTTTGCAAATTGAAAGACCTGTTTTTTTAGAAATTGGACAAGATTTAGCATTTAAAAGGAGGGGAAGCCCCAGGAAAGAGAAAAGAAAGCCTCCAATATCTGCCAGTTTCTATCCTGTTATTTGTATCAAAGCTACAAATAAGATATGTTAGCACTGAAGTCAGGCACTGCAGGTGTTCCCGTTCTGCCCAGACTGAGCCACAAATCCTACAAACTGTACAGCTGAGCAGGCGACAAACTTTTCTTCAAGCTTACATCATTGTTTAGCGCTTCTTTCCTTCTAGGTTACTTGCTGCATTCAGCTTTTTCCAGCAGAATTTATTCACACAGAGACACAAGGGGAACGAACATTTGTCAGCCATCTCAGTTTGCTAGGCCACCGTGCTGTTAAGATGCCAGTTGAAACTGTATAATGTAGTGCTCTCCCCTCTGCTTATTGGAGGAGCTAAACAGGAAAAGCAAAACATACTGAAAGGATCAAAATGCTGGCATGGCGAAATTAAAACACCATTTCATTCAAAACCAAGCGTCTCCAACCACCCAAAAGGGGGGAAAAAAAACCTTTATTTAAGGAATTAGTTAGAAAGCCATTAGCAATTCTGTGAAAAAAAATAATGGAGAATATGTTGGAAGAAAGTCCTGGGTCCTAGAGTTGGCACAAATGTCAACAGCACCAACCTCTAAGCACTAGTGGGAATGACAAAGGCCAAGTCAAGAATGCATCAAACTGCATTTTTCATGCCAGAATCAGATGCAGACACATCACCTCTGCTCCAGGCAGAGCCCTGCGCAGTGCCAGTGGGGCCCAGGGCAGAGGGCATCTTTTGCTCTTGCTGCAGTTCACATTTTAAACTATCCCGGAAGAAACTGATTTTGGATCTATTCCAAAGCGTCCAGTGGCTTAACTCTGTGTTGCAGGAGCTTTTTTTTGGGGGGGGGGGGGGGGGGGAGCAATGTTTTCACTTGGGCAGGACTCTTTTGAGTTGAGGGTCATCGAACATGCTGTGGACAGAGAAGCACTGCGGAAGGCAGAGGGAAACAAGGTAAGCAGGACTGGAGTCTGACTCTGATGTCTGGGAAGAAGAGAGAGAGTCAGAAAAGAAGGAAAAGGTGAAGAAGCACCTTGGATTTTTAAAGAAAGCCACACCTGTGGAAGAGGTGCCCTACTGGCTGGAAGCCAGCCCTGAGCCTGGAACGAGGGAAGTCTGGGGTCGGGGAACTTAAGAGAATGCAGGCACTACATACAGCAAAGCCAAAAATGTGCTAAAAACCACTTGTTAACAGCTGACATGCATTCACAAGCTCTGGTTTGTTTTTTGTTTTGTTTTTTTTTTCCATTTCGGTTTCAAGGAGGACAAGTGTCAGATGGTAGGAATGGTGGCTGCGGGGTGAATGTTCTGAGCTCAGTGAGACACTCTGGGCTGTCTTGCGTTTCCTCCCACCCCCTCCCAGCCCCTCCCTCAATCCCGTTTCCCCCACTCTTGCCCCCTGAGTGCCCTCAGTCTTGCTCCTTTACTATTTCCTCCCTTGGCTTGGCTCCACCAAAGATGGCAGAATTGGGATTGGCTACTTGATTGAGGGGCGTAGCGACTGTCCGGGGCTTGAGCTGAAGTCTGGGCCTCTGGGATCTTTCCTCTGCCGAAAGAAAAAGAAGAGGAGGAGATTAAGCTGAGAGGTGATATGGCTATTTTCCCAACCTGAGTTATGGATGAACTATAGTCCTTATCGTGGCTATCCTGTACCGCTGGACGTGCTCTCGTGCTTCATGCAACAGGGCTCAGTTTGCCTATTCCACTGCAAGTGGGATCAGCAGAACATAGCTGCCACCCTAAAACCAAACCACTTTCCAAACTAAAGCGATATGAAAGCACAAAGTGTCATCCACAGGGGCAATCATCCTTGTAATCCATCCTCCTCTCTTATGGCTTCTTGCTGTCTAGATTACATCTCATCACAGTCTGGAGGACATCTGGTCAAAGAAAACTTCCCTCACTCATTACTGCTCAACAGGGCGCCCTCCAGATATACTGGACCGATTCTCAGAACTCTTAGCCAGAATGCAAGTCCAGAGAATGATCCAAAATATCTGGAGGACTCCAGGCTGGGAAAGGCAGCATTACTTGGGTTACAATGCTCTCTGAATGGCAAAGTTATATATTGGCATCACTAGAGGGCACTACTGCAGTTTCAACATGACGGATCTGTTCAGGCAGAAGACAATATGGGGAGCATCAGATTTTAGGGGAATTGACTTTTTTCTTCCCTCAATCTACTGGAATAGATCTGGGGTGCACAAAAAGTGAAACTAGGGACAGTAAAGCAATCAGGGTCACTCTGAGAGTGACAGTATCTAAAGTTGTTAAAAATCTATCTATCTATCTATCTCTATCTATCTATCACCCATCCTGCAACTACCTTATGGCTTCTACCATGAGTTAACTATTAGAAGAGTCACATAACATGGCCCAAGATACACAAACCTATAATGGAAACCATAAGAAGTCTCATAGTATCTTTTCTGACTAACAACTTTTATTAAAAGGCATAATTTTACAGCTTCACCTCATTAGATATCTGACCTAACATACGTCAAAAGGCCTCAGGCAATGTCAGAAAATTTCCCTCAAGCTCGTGACTTTTCGCTATCAAAGGTAGCAGTTATCCTCCTGTAATATCTAAAAACTGTAATTGAAGTTGGATGTGGGTCTCGTATTTGGCTTCCTTTTAAGAACTGAAAATGGAGTGCACGCAGTCCTGTACTGTATTACAGCACCTAAGTAATGTAGGCTACAAAATTGGGCTGAGAATAGCTATTTCATTTTGCCATAATACAGGGCAAGTGCAAGAAACTTGTGGAGCTCCAGATATTGTGCTATAAAACCCAGCATCTGGCACCAGTAGCCATATTGCCTGGGGTGTTACAATTTATAGTTCAGCAACATCTGAATAACTGCTGGTTCTTTACCTGGGACAGGGGAGAAAGGAAGACAGCCTACCTTCTGTTGGCTCTCTGAAATCCATAGAAGCCCCACGTATTGGTGGACCATCCCTGAAACGACCTGTGCCCCCCATGGGTGGGGCACCAGCTCCTCGTCGATCTCCAGGACGCATTCTACCTCTGCCTCCTAGGAAGTCATCATCTCTGAAACCTATCAAAGAGAATATAGCATCTAGTATCAGCTCTATTGATATCTCTGCCCCAGGGAAAACTTTGCTCATGGATTTTTCCAGGCCATCCAAACATCCTGAAGAGCAGCATTCTAAAAGTCAGCTAGTTTTTAACTTCCTAAGACACAGACATTTATTAACAACCCACCTGAAAGAGAGAGTGAACCAAGGCCTATATAAATTTCTATCAGTTCGATGAGGGGATGTCCATAATACAAGCAGAGTATGAACATCTTTCCCGCCCCCAATTCTTCCACTTCTGGCAGCTCCTCCATTATTTGTTCTATAAGATCCCATCACTGCTTATCTTTTGCTGTGAGAGATGTGACTTTTCTGGCATCAGGACAATTGTACAATTAGATGGTTGTTGATGTATTAGTATTGCTATTTTCTTAGTTGTACCATACAATTTCATTACTAGTTTTGCTTTTATGATTATCAGTACTGATCCGCTAAATTTCCTGATAAAAGAAAGGACGTGCTTAGAATATAGATGTTGTGAGGTTGAATATGGCAAGGGGAGCAGAAGTCCACACTTTGCACCTGCAATACAAATTGAAGATTATTATTTCTGATTGCAACAATCGAACTAGGATTGTTAAATTTCAAGGCTGAATTTTTTGAAGTAAAACTTCCTTTCTGGTAACAATCTACCTCTTGGTGCTATTTGTTATATGCATTTTTAACTGAAGAAATGTCCAGTGAACTACTAGTGGCCAGCCCTTATTCTAGCTAAATCTTATTTAGGATGTGCAAGGGTAACCAGCAACACACTGATGACACTGAAAATCTCAATTTGACTTGAAGAAGAATTAGAATGAATATAAGTGATGATAAAAAAGAAAATAAATGGGGAAGGGAAAAAAAACCAAGTTCATCAGGATTGAGAGAATGAAACATCTGAATACACAATCTGTACAGGTCTACTTATTAGGAAATACTTCCAGCCTCTTATTGCTCTGCTGTGTAGCCCATTATCTAGATTCCTGCCACCTCTTTCACAAACATGAAAAAATTAGCATAAGAACGAGGCCTACAGCCTTAAATCCCCATCTATAAAATGGAAACGATTTAGAGTTTGCATTATATGAAAACATTTCCTATGTTCCTTTTACAAATTTACATAGTGATAAAAGAAAGTAAAGATACACAGCTCCTTCTTGAGGAGGTTTCTGCTTGGTTGATGGAGCATACCCAGCTGAAGCAGTTCTGTACATCAGACCCAAATAAATGTATGATACATGCACCTTCCCTCCCTGTTGACAACACCTATTGCTAGAGGGAAAAAACAGTGATCTTACCACATTTAGTTAAAATTGTAAGAACTGTATGCTACCCAGAGTGACTTGGCTGAGATGGGCAACTATAGAAATTGAATAAATAAGTAAAGACAAGCTGGATGAGAAGGTAAGCATGCTTTCAAAAGGGGGTGGCCAAAGAAGCTATCTTGATGAACTTTAGTTACAGCACTGGGAACTGCTGATATATCCTAAGGAAAAGAAGACAGATGAACTACCTGTTCTGTGAATGGTAAAATGGAATAATTTAAAGCTTTATTATCCAAATCAAACCAGGTTCTTTTGAAAACAATTCAAGATACAAGAAACCATACTTACATTCATCAAACCCAAATGTACTCATATACTTAGCCTTCAAGGATTCCAACTCCTATATTCCTAGATCTCTGTGCCTAACTATATACTCCAAATGTTTCCACAAAAGTTGAATACATACAAGAGAGATGACGGCCAAATTCTTAAAAAAATGGAAGTGCTATTTTAAATTCCACCCTATTGGCCTTAACATCTGAAGACAAACAGGAGGTAACAGGATCTCAAGAGAAAAAAGTCAGGAGGTTTGAAAAAAAAAATCAGTAACATTTTAAAAAAGAGAGAAATACTGTTACCAGCACTGAAGTCATCTCTGGAATCCCATCCACCTCCTCTCGATTCTCGCAGACTTCCGCCCATGCCTAAAAAGAAAGACACATTGCAAGCATGGGTCAATGGGGAAGGCGGGAAGTTCTAGAAGGTTTCGCATCCAATCGTCAGAAATCCCCCTATTTTAAGTCAGCACAATCCTTGCTGGCAATTGTATACTGCAGAAGAACTTGGCTAGATCAGAGGTGGAACTGATATCTGAAAATCTGGGAAAGGATAACAGTTGTCAAAGAAGGGGAAATATCCAGGCGTAATCCAAGCCACAATTAAGAAAATGTATGATGAGGCAGCATCCCCAGAAAAATCAAAGTTTAAAGAAAGTTTCCCTCATGTTTTGCAAGTTAAGCTGCAACAATTTACATACAATCATTCAAAACGCTACATTATGAAGATGGTTTATTAAGTCTAAGAAAGTGAGGCCTTTTCCTGCAAAACTCTCATAGCCAGTTAATCAGCCACTGTTGTGGTATTTTGGAGTATTAAGCCTCATGATTAGGTTATGAAGTATTAGCAAGTCCAAGAAATGAGCACATTGCCAAAAGAAACCCATTCCCTTTTATTTAACAGTGCTATCAACCACAAATAGTTCAGTGCTGCACTGAATCCATGATTTCAAGAACATGGTAATGCAACTGATCACTTACTACAGACAGCTTTGGAATTCATGTTGCTGTCTCCTTTTTACCATAAGACAACAGACTTGGAATGCTGCTAGAAAAGCCCAACCTTGTATATCAGTGTTTCTCAACCTTAACAATTTTAAGGCATGTGGACTTCAACTCCCAGAATTCTACAGCCAGCATTGCTGGCTGTGGAATTCTGGGAGTTGAAGGTCCACATGCCTTAAAATTGTCAAGGTTGAGAAACACTGTTGTAGATTTTCCCATCTGGCAGAACCCATATGGATTTCATTAATAGGTGGAGCCTTCTAAATCTGGATGTGTAGGATTGCAGCTCATCAGAACAAGGAAAGAATGGTTTGCCTAAGTAAGAACGGGATTTTCTCTTTTCTTCTTCTTGGATTTTGAGGGGAAATTTATTTATTTATTTTCCTAAAAACCTCCCCTGGGTTAAACTATTTTAGAGTTATAACAAAATAACCGAGTTGGAAGGAACCTTGGCGGTCTTCTAGTCAACTAATCACTCAATGTATGCTTCCCACTTCACAGTGGTGTAGAAAAATGCCACCTATTTTTGGCAGTTGTGCTAGAGATGATTCCACGGGGCACATGCTGCTCTGGGATCTCAAGCTGCCTTGGAACAAAAGAGGCAGGGGCATTAGCAGACTATTTTGGAACAGCTTGACAATTGTTCAAGGAAGTTCAGAGGTTAATTTAGTCACTCAGGAGATCATTTACCTGCTAATTTCCATTTTAGAATCTCTATATATGCCTTGTCTTCAAAAGTAATCATCCTGAATATATAACTGACACTTGTATGTACTATCTATTAGACCCAAGAAATGCTTTTGATAATCCATCAGCACATCTACAAGTACTATTAAACAGTAACATACTTATATTTGTTCTACAGTCAAAGCAAGTACATAAAGAGGAAGAAACATTCGATCCTCTTTTGTGAAGACAAAATATAGGTAAATCTACATCCAGATCTTCATAGGTCATAGGTTTCCAAGTTAATTTCAATAGACAAATGAGCTTGAACAGACAGGCGAACAACCAGGCTACCAATTCATAGCATTGTCTACTTCAAAGTGATTCCAAAAAGATGCTTCAGGGTATGCAGGCTGTTAATATATAACATGTCTACAACTCCCTAAAGAATCTGTCTCTCTTACCAGCATGTCTGCAGGGCCTTTTTGGAACCCAAACTGAAGCACAGCACAAACTCCAAAGAGTCACAGATCAGAAAGGGACCTCAGAAGCTACTCAGACATAGGAAACTAATTGTGCCCACATATCTAGGGGATGTCTGAGCATGTACAAAAACCTACAATTTCAGGAGGAGAATGTTCTGGAAAACTTTTCTTCTTCTTCTCTGAATTTTACATCCAAATTGGCATGGAGTGGAGGAAAAAGAATTTTCAGCACTTTTGGAAAGTTCTGCTATTGGAATTATAGCTTTTGGTTAAGGACCTTCAACAATCTCTAGCAATTTTTTTCCGCTGTTCAAAATACAATATATACTTTTCTTCTTAATGTCAGAAATGTCTAGCTAGGATTACATTTAAAGTAACTGAAGCATATTAATTAGAATTCCAAAACAGATAGTCTTCCACTTAGTGACCATTTGAAGTTATGACAGACCTATGGGGGGGCACTTGTGACCCAGATTCAAGGTTCTGATGGACCCTCCGGTGTGGCCACATAACTAAACTTAGAGCACTTGGCAACCAGGCCACATTGACTGTTTTGCAGCATCCTGCAGTCACATGACTGTGTTTTATAATGGTTCTGCCAAAAAAAGTGACATTTCCTTCCAGTTCTCAACAAAACTGTGTCCATGGTGAGACTTGGCTTATGACCATGATGGGCAGGCTCCATTATGGTTGTACGCCAAGGACTATCTGAATTCAGAATGATTGAGAACAAAATATCACTGATTTGACAGTGCTTTGATATCACATTCTGTAACTTGCCTCCTTTATTGCTACCGGACTAAAGGTAACAGTGAACTTCTTAGTAATGTAATTTTAATTTAATTTAATTTACACTATTTTCATTTTGCTACTTCTTTCAGTCTGCTTGGAAGTTTTTCCCTTGGAGTTCTCATTAGCAATAAAATATTCCTAGAGTCCAGGAATATTCATCATCCTTTTAACCAGTGCTGAGGGGAAGCATTGTATTTAAACAAAAAACAAAAAAACTGCTCATGTACCCAAGATTTCCATTTAAAGATATCCAATTGTCTTGTAAAGGCTAGGGATTGTTGAAATTTCATGACATTATTTTTTGTAGGGCATCCAGTTGCTAATATTTCCTTAATGGTATGAAGTTATCTGCCTGGCTCTGAGGCTGCATTTTAGATCCATTGCCTGTATTCTACTAGAAGGCACTTAAATCTTCCATAAATGCCTGAAGATTGCCAGTGTGCACTGCTGACACTTAATGCTACACACAAAGACATGCCTGCTTAAGGTGGCATTAATACAATCATTCCAATTTGTAGTGTGTAAGAACAGCCATGTAGGACGTCACCTCTATCCTCTGGACCACCACCTTTTCTGAAACCGAAACCACCTTTGTCTTGTTTCCTGCCTTCAGCTATGTCCACTCGGAGACTCCGGTCGCCAAAAAGCTGTTGGGTTGAATAAAAAAAAAAGAAACTGTTTCTGAAGTAGATTACAGATAAAAGCTGCTACCTCTGTTCAAATTACATTTCACAAGAATATTATACTTACTGCTCCATCAAACGTCAGAGCATCTTTAAGTGACTCAACCTCTTCAAACTCTACGTAACAAAATCCTGAAATGTAATAAATAAATAAATATAAATATATGTGAGAGCCAGTCTGGTATAGTTAAGGTGCCAGGCTAAAAACTGTAAGACCATGAGTTGTAGACCCACCTTAGGCACAAAGCTAGCTGAGTAAATTTGGACCAGTCACTCCCCAGTCTAGAAAGAAGGCTATGATTAATTACTATGGAAATGTTGTCAAGAAAACTGTGTGGAATTATCCAGGCAGTCACCAGAACTCAAGACTGATTCAAAAGGGTGTGAATGAAAGCATATAAACATAAATAAAATTAGGAAACCGCTCTCATCTTGGCACTGGAAACTGGGTGTGCATGAATGATCATTGGTTTATCATTCTCATAAAACTGATTTAGCTCCTTGAGTTCTGTCACCCAACAATTTAAACTTTCTGATTTGAAATACAGATTATAGAAAAAAAAGAAACATAAAAACATTTGTTCTAGACTAGAGGGATACAAAATGTTTTATATTTGGAATGTTTCAAGCTCAGTTTCTGAACAGCTTATACAAAACAATGATAGGATACATTTATTAAGACCAAAACAGCTATTTTGTATTCTAAACAGCTATTTTAAGATCAAAACATTCTACATACTTTAAATTTGTTCCTTACACAAATTTTTCTGACAGGTAAGGTAAGAAGCCCTTTGCTAAATCTTCTTATATAAATGAGATAAGTAGCTACTACTGAAAGCTTGTGTAGTTGCAGTTAAATTTAAAAGTAGGAATTTAGGCATCTTAGGGTAAAACTGTTAGGCTGTTTATGTTCTCTGAGCTTGTTTATTTTCCTGCAGGTGTTTTATTGTGTCCCCACAACAATCCTGTGATGTAGGTTGGTCCAACCGACATCTAAGTGACCAAAAATCACCCAGTGAGCTTCTGTGCCTAACAAATAGCCAAAGAACCCATGTCTTCTTGCTCTTAGTCCAACACCTTCACCAAAATACATAATAAAATACATTTTATTAGGGAGTACAGATGGTTGGACATGCAGGAAAACCTTGTTATGTTGCTTATTCCTCTTAAGGGTTTCAGCTGGTCACACCTTTACACATGCCTTTCTCCTGGGCCACCTCCTTCCCTCTTGCAGCAGGCATTTTCTGTGATCAGTCAGCATCTTTATCTTCAATGGGTTATTTTGGGAAGAGCTAAACTGCTGCATGAGGTTCTCCCCCTAAAGGTCACAGTCTATGCTACCAGCATTAAGGTTTTCCCTGGAGATGCTGGCTGATAGATCACACATCCCCATGGTCCAACTTGAGTTATGTAGCTACCACAATGTCCATTTATCTGTATCATTCAATTATGAAATATTTAAAATAACCTCAAAGTACCTCAAAGATTGGCATAATTCTAATGCTATGGTGGTGGCCCCTAGAATCCTTTTAAAGATACATACAATTGTATTCTTTAATTTGGCAAAAAGAGGGAGTTATTAAATACATGGGAGTGATTTTATTTTCTGTATCTAAACATTAAAACTACATTATAATGAACTCAGATTTTGACTTCCCCCTGTCCACTCTTTGGAATGTACTTTCTGACTTACCACAGAAAAGCAAAAGATGGTCCTCAGGCCAAACACATGTACACATAGGCACGCTCAATCTCACATCTTTGCTCCACAAAGAAACAGCTATCACAATCCCAAAACTGTATGATAAAGGGGAGATACAAAATGACCTACCTTTAAATTTATCTGTCTCTTTGTCTCTGACTAGTCGCACACTTCTTATACTGAGGTCCTTGAAGATGCCATCAATATCTCCTTGAACTGTGTTGAAGGGGAGGTTACCAACGTATGCTGTAAAGGGGGGCTCTGTTGGAAGCTCTTTCTGTTTACGTGCACCAATGGTGGAACTGCCACGAGACCTGTTGACAAGGGTAGGATTATAATTCACACCTGAGTGCTCCCTGTGGAAGTAGCAGCCATGGCACACTTAGAGAACTCAGATATGGAGAAGCACTTTTGCAACAAGTGGTTAACCTTGAAACCAGGTATAGGTAATCTGTGGCTTGCAGACTCCCCAGCATCTCATTAACAATTCCTAAAGTCTCAAAATGTACATCAGGATAAAGTCAGACCATTTATTTTGGTAGGGGTTTTTAAAGAGCAAAATCATTACCTTAAACTTTGCAGGGGTTGTAGCCCATGCATCGCCCCAAACACTTCCCCCAATCAGATAATTTTCACTGTTTTCCCCTTGTTTTAGGAATAAAATCACCACAGAGGCTTAAGGCATTATTTTTACCACTTAACCTCCCTTTCCAAAAAATGGGAAAGTTAAGTTCAACTATTTGGCAGCATCGTGACACCAGCCATCCAGATAGGAATCAATGAGGAAAAAGTAGCTTCCCTATCCTTGCTATAAATAGAGATCTCCAAACCTCATCAGCCCCTTCAACGTAGTTTCAGATTGCTCATTGATCCCCAAACATTATATGTAAATGATTTATTATTTTAACATAGTACTACAGATAATAACAACATCTACCCCTTGGATAACCCCACTGACTGCTTACAAGAACCCTGCTTTAAAACACACAAAGGCAAAAAATGTTTAGCCCAGAACAAGTGAACTGAGATGAGACATCTAGCAGAGGAAAGATCAATCAATTCCAACTTCGCAAGATCTTTTATTCACAAGAAGTTAGGATTGACTTCCCCCCTCCCCCACAAACTTCGTTTTCCTGCACGCGGCGACAAATCGTGAAGGAGAAATGGCACGAGGCTGGGAGCCAGGTAAGGAAAGGCATGGGTGCTGACGGCAGGATGCCAGCCTGCTTCACCACCCTCCCTCCCCGAGCCTCCAGTGCTCTACCTGCCACACTGTTTGGCCTGGCCGCCCCCATCTCAATGCTCTTCCTGCCGCCGCCCAGGGGCTGGCCTGGCACGGGAAGTGCACACGCCCCGCCCACCTTGTACCATACCTGGTCTGCCACCACACTCTCGCCGCTGCGTTGCTTCTCCACCCCATGCACAGGCCCCGCCCCACCCCCATGCGCTCGCAACCTACTGTTACCGACAAAATGTAAGCCCTCCCCGAAAGTAAATCCTAGTGTTTACTTCAGAGCCCAAAAGAAAGTAAGACCGGGTCTTACTTTCGGGAAAACACAGTAGTGTGCCAACATCTTTTCTTCATTCATTGGTGGCTACTTGTTTCGCCAATGAAATGGAACAGATTCAAAATCCACAATAACATAATAATAATAATAATAATAATAATAATAATAATAATAATAATAGTAGTAGTAGTAGTAGTAGTAGTAGTAGTAGTAGTAGTAGTAGTAGTAAAGTTGGAAGGGACCTTGGATGTCATCGAGTCCAACCCCCTGCTCAGGCAGGAAACCCTGTATCATTTCAGACAAATGGCTGTCCAGTCTCTTCTTAAAAACTTCCAGTGTTGGCGCATTCACCACTTCTGGAGGCAGGTTGTTCCACTGGTTAATTGTTCTGACTGTCAGGAAGTTTCTCCTTAGTTCTAGGTTGCTTCTCTCTTTGGTTAGCTTCCATCCATTGCTTCTTGTCCTGCCTTCAGGCGCTTTGGAGAATAGCTTGACTCCCTCTTCTTTGTGGCAGCCCCTGAGATATTGAACACTGCTATCATGTCCCCCCTTGTCCTTCTCTTCATTAAACTAGACATACCCAATTCCAGCAATCGTTCCTTATATGTTTTAGCCTCCAGTCCCCTAATCATCTTTGTTGCTCTTCTCTGTACTCTTTCTAGAGTCTCAGCATCTTTTTTACATCGCGGTGACCAAAACTGGATGCAGTATTCCAAGCGTGGCCTTACCAAGGCATTGTAAAGTAGTATTAATACTTCACGTGATCTTGATTCTATCCCTCTGTTAATGCAGCCTAGCACTGTGTTGGCCTTTTTGGCAGCTGCAGCACACTGCTGGCTCATATTTAGGTGATTGTCTACTAGGACTCACAGTTACTACTATTGAGCAAGGTGCCACCTATGCTGTACTTGTGCATTTGGTTTTTCTTGCCTAAATGTAGAACCTTGCTTTTTTCACCATTGAATTTCATTGTTAGATAGCGCCCAGTGTTCAAGTCTGTCCAGATCCTTCTGTATCTTAAGCCTGTCTTCTGGAGTGTTGGCTATTCCTGCCAGCTTGGTGTCGTCTGCAAATTTGATGAGTTCCCCATCTATCCCCTCGTCCAAATCGTTGATGAAGATGTTGAAAAGCACTGGGCCCACAACAGAGCCCTGGGGCACCCCACTACACACTTCCCTCCATGTAGATGCGGTTCCATTGAGGACCACTCGCTGAGTACGGCCGGTCAGCCAGCTACGGATCCATCTGGTGGTGATGCTGTCTA